ACAAGCTACATGTCCATCATGGGTCACTTTTACCTCCGTGCCATGTTATCTTCATTTCAGAACCTAGGCTGACAACGCAGCCTCTGCCCGGAATATTGCTGGTCATCATGGCAGAAGGAAAAAAGGCAGTAAATCTTGAGCTAGTTCTTAAAATATTTGCTTAGAAGTGATACATATTTTCAGCCACATTTCACTGGCCAAAGCAATTAGTATAGCCATGCTTGAGTACAACAAGGTGAGTACCTATTATCCTACTGCAGGGTGGGTCAATGCGTGGTAGAACCAACAGAGCAAAGATCAACAACCCTCTGTGAGGAGGCAGAGCTCGTATTTGTGTACAATGAAGCTATCACGGCACGGCTTCCTACTTCTTGTTTATTCCATCTCTTTCGTAAAATGGATCCTCCACTCTTTGGGTTTATGTCTTTTTTTCACTGTCATTTCAAGAGAACTTCAGGAAAACCAGGAGTATGCTCACTCTGCCATGGTTTACCCAAAAGCCTATCAGCCAATCACTTTAAAAGGTAACTTTTTGGAAGACGCCTGTTTAGAAGATGAGGGCTATCTGTAATTTTCCTTTTCATTCAGGGTACTATTTCCATTATTTATAGCAGTTTTTTCCAGATCCTATAAATGTTAATCAAGGACTAAATTGTCATTTCTTTTTTAATACAATACTACCCAAAATGATAAATTCACTTTAAGACTTAGGAGGAGTTTTCTAAAATAGTTTTGGTCCTAAATATCTTAAGTTTGTCTTTTCTGATTTGATCTAAACTTCAGGTTTACATTTGCAATAAAATCCAGCATCTAAAAAGAATTTCACTACAATCCTATAACTGTTGATAATAATATATTCAACTTGTTGGCCTAGCTCTGAAATCTCCCTGTCAGCTGGGCATGGTGGCTCCTGCCTGTAATGCCAACTACTCAGGAGGCTGAGGTGGGAAGATCACTTCAAGCCAGGAATCTGAAACCAGCCTGGGCAACACAGCAAGATCCTGTCTCTAAAAAGGTTGTTTTAAATTATCCGGGTGTGGTGGTTTAGCCCAGGAGTTCAAGGTTGCAATGAGGCTATGACCATGCGACTGCACTCCAGCCTGGGTGACAGAGCAAGAACTTGTCTCTAAAGAACAGAACAGAACAGAGGAAAGAGGAAAGAAAAGAGAAAGGGAAAGGAAAGGGGCCAGGCATGGTGGCTCACACCTATAATCCTAGCCCTTTGGGAGGCCAAGGTGGGCAATCACTTGAGGTCAGGAGTTTGAGACCAGCCTGGCCAACATGGTGAAACCCTGTCTCTACTAAAAACTAGCCAGGCGTGGTGCCGCACGCCTATAATCCCAGCTCCTCAGAGGCTGAGGCAGGAGAATTGCTTGAACTTGGGAGTTGGAGGCTGCAATAAGCCAAGATTGTGCCACTGCACTCCAGCCTGGACAAAGAGAGCAAGACCCCGTCTCAACTGAAAAAGCAAGAAAAGAAAGGAATCCCCCTGTCATTGCTGTCTATAACCTAAGTATTATATTTGGGAAATGATATTTCCCTATGCTAGTATCTTACTTAGTTGTGAAATGAAAAATACAGTAAATGATTACTATAGGGGAACATTACAAAAGAAGTGGTATAATTCAACTTTTTGTTAAATTAGTTTTTAATTTGGTAAAAACGAATCTTTCTAATAACTGATATATGCTTGAATCTCAAGGCTAAAAAAACTTGCTTTTTAAACCTTGGAGTGTACTCTAAAATAACTATGTGTTTGTAAATGATAAACTTTGCTCAGATGCATTATTTACTGCTAATACTTCACTGCTTGGGCCTTGGGTCTTGAAGTTAAGGTTTCTTGGTTTAAATAGTGTTGCCATCTCAAAATAATCATGGACCACAGTGTATTGCTTAATCCCTTTAACCTCAGTATTCTCATTTATAAAACAGGAGTAATAGTATTTCCAAGAAAAAGTTACGGGATAACCCATATAAAGCCTGAACGTAGTGTTTGGCAGACAGTAAATGCCCAGTAAATGTTTGCTGAATAAATGAATGAATGAAATGTTTGCCCTAACTTTAACAGCTATCTTATTTACTTTTAAAGTTCATACAGGTCAAACCCCATTTTAACAATGTTTAAACCCTTTAAACAATGTATAAACCCTTTTCTGTAATAAAGTAATCTATTTTGTGTTTGAATGAAGTTACTTTATTTATCAAGCATCTTTTTTTAACTGATTAAATGAAGGGAGTTTGGGATTTTCATTTCTTTATTTTGCTCTTCTACATTCATCCAGTTCAAGAAAGGGATTTTTTTTTTCTCTCCTAATGAATCTAAAAAACCTCACCAAAAACCTCTATCAATTCTACCTTTGTCTACTTGAAATGCCCAAATATGGCCTATGATATACATAAGCCAATGTGAAATGCCAAGACCATACAGACAGATTCTTGACTATACAGAGTATCTTGAGAAAACAGTCTTAAAAAAAAATCCTGAGTGAAGCTGAGTTCCTTGCCCAAAGAAAGGCCGATCAATCTACGTGCCACCAAAGAATATGTAAACCATACATAATTATTATATAACATATTTGAAGTGTATTAAAATGTGTAAGAGGTATCTGAGACTCTGACAGCACCTGTGGTAAACCCTTCTGTGTACCTTTGATGAGTGGGATTGAAAAGGCTTTTGCAAACAACATAAAACCAAATGACTCTGGCTGCAAAGGCAATCAGTATCAGATATAAAGGAGAAAAAAAAAAAAAGGCAAAATGAATTCAGAAAAGTAAATAGATCCATTCCCTTTCACTCTTTGTTGTTCAACTGATTCTACTTCTTTTGTATGGAAATTTAGTAGCAACATTTTAATATGCATCCCAAATTTGCATCCATGTTTAACAGTAGAGCAGTACAGGTGGCGTGGAAAAAGCAATGGAAGTGAAATCAGAATCTGTGGGTTTTTACACAGTCTGCCACCTCACTGAGTCTCAGTTTTCTCATCTGCAAAATGGCAGTGAAAATGTCTACTCTACAAAATTGTGATTATTAAATACGGTAAAATAAATGAAAATCATTACAAAATATGGAAACATAAATGAAAATATGAAAAACAAATTAAAATAGAACAGTGCCGTTCAATAGAAATATGAAGTGAACCACGAACGTGAGCCACATCTATTATTTTAAATTAAAAAATTCAAAGAAGCAGGTGAAATTAATTTTAATAATATATTTTATTTTGCCCAATTTATCCAAGATATTGTCGTTTCAATGTGTTAATATAAAATAATTAATAATAGAGGTTTTTAACTTTTTTTTTTGGTACTGTCTGAAAATTGGTGCCTATTTGACACTCACAGTACAGCTCGGTTCAGACTAGCCACATTGCAGGTGCTAAACAGCCATAGCAGCTAGTGACTATCATAGTGGTCTGCATATGCTGAGAACCAAAGTGTATGTTTATTAGATCTAAATAGTATTTCCTATCAGATAAACCCTGTGGAGGTTATTTTTTAAATTGATGCATTAAAGAGAGTTTGCATTTTTATATTTTTGATATAGTAGTTAATACGTGATATATAATAAGAATTTAAAATATTACCTATAACTGACCAGACCATGTATTTATCCAAAATAAAAGCAACCAAAAATGATGATTATAGGTAACTTTGTAGTTATTTTATTAGGACTTAAATTATATATTAATTTGACATAAAATCTAATAATCTTAAAAAAACCTGACATAACTATAAGCACACAAAACGATTCAAACTATAAACAATTCAAACTGGCATTTCTGTAGAGAAGGAAAGGGTCTTGGAGTTGGAAATCCAAATCTTTTAGTAATCAACTACAATTGATAAAGTGTACCTTTTGGCAAAGAAACATGAGGAGAAAACACAGTATTTTTCTATATTGCAAAACTTCATTTCACAGGACCTGCCATTAGTAAGTCATATTATAGTTTCAATAGCTTTATTTTTTTCCTCTCATAAAAATTTATTCTCTAAATAACAGGATGACTACCTATTATGACAATTATATATAGCATCATTTTAATGCATCTTAATGATGCGTTGGGGTTAAAATGTCAAATATTATTTACATTATACTCACTATTAAAATTACACTGAATAGTATATGGTAGGCAAATTCTTGTATCTTGAGTTCAAAGAGTAGGATGAAAAATATAAAGCAAACATTTCTTCACTGCAAGGTCTTTATGAAAGCTGTCCACAAAGCGTAAGGTGCATGTGTGTGCACACATGTGCACACATACATATTTATATATTATGTTCTTGTTTTCTGTGGGTGGAGATGTCCCTGCAACTGGCGTATTTTCAGCAATCTTCCTCTGGGCTGACCAGCAGTGCAACACAAGTGGTCAGAAAACGATATGAGAGTAAACTGTAGTATTAGAAAGGTGATGGCTACTTCATTTCAAATCTGACAAGGACTATTTAGTTACCTACTATGACTTCCACATTACAAAGGGTTATTAAATTCTTAATGATGGAAAGAAACTTTTTGGACTTTGATTTTTTATTTACTTGTATTCAGAAGATGGCACTCCTACAACACAGGCCCTCAAACACTTTGTCAGCACACTGGGCCAAAAGTGATACATCAAGAAAAAGTGCCATAGCAGACTCGTCACTTCTTCGTTCAGGGCGCCACCTATGTGTCTCTCTGGAGTCTCCTCACTAACAATTTGCCTCACCCAGCCCTGCTCAGGCTTAAGATCAGCAATGGGTTCACACTACAAATCCATAAAGCTTCAAAAGACAGTTTAAAGGTTTATATCATCATATTTATATTCACTTAAACTCTTCTGAGGAAGCATCTATTCCATCAGTTAGGCATGCATTTCCTAAACATTAGCATTTGTTAAAATGCTGACCACCCCCCATAGCCACTGATACCAAATGCAAACACAGTAGCATACACTGTACAATTTTAAACACTTGGCCGAACTTCAGATGTAAAACTACCCAATGTAGTAAGAAAGACTCACATCTGGCATTTCTGTAGAGAAGGAAAGGGTCCTGGAGTTGGAAATCCAAGTCTTTAGTAATAGGTTCTGTCCTATTTTCCATGCTCAGCCTATTCATAATGGTGAATCCGTGCTTTGGAGAAGCAGACCTAAAAATCACAAGGGGTCAGCGGGAGATCAATAGACAAATTGCTTAGTATGCTATATTTTCAGTATAGTACATTCTGATGTGTCTCTCAACTTTTGTTTGTATATGCAGCTTTACACAAGCAGCCTGTACACATACTTCTCCACCACTGGCATCATTATGGACTAATTCCCATGTAATGCAGCAGCACTGTCATGATGACTCATTCGGTAAAATTGAGTCACACTTCATTTGTAGGGGGGGTGTGTGTGTGTGTGTATGTGTGTATACAGTTGTTGTTTGTTTATTTCTTTACCTACGTTGTAAATTCCTTTAAGGCAGAGTAACTACTTTTTAAAATATTACTGACTTTTAAAGAATACTTTTTAAAAGTTAAATTAATTAAAGATATTTTTAAACAATCTTGGTAGTTAATATTAGAGTGTACATCACAATTATATGAAGAAAATTTTCATAGAAAATGTTAAGTGTTAGTCTGAAACTGAAGGCTGCAAAATCTCTTAGCCGTATGAATCAACTCTCAACAATGAGTTTGTGAGGACACAGCCTGAACTAGAAGTTTACATAACAGTGCAAAGGGCAGATACTTTGTTTTCTTCAATGCAAAGCAAACAGCTTCACAGATAAACCACTATAGAAGTTTTTCTCTATAAAAATGTGACATTTAGTGACGTTTTATTTTCATTTCACTCAATAAACCTTGAATGCCTACTCTGCCAGGCAGAAAAGAATCCAAATCATACTGAGTATAAACTCTAACAACTACATGTGCATTCGTCTACCCTTGGGTGACAGCCATATAGTAATTCAACTGTTCAACTTCCGGTGACAAATGAAACACCACATATTTACACACTGAAGCTGAAGCAAGCAGAATTCATTTATTTACTTTAAATGAGGGTGCTAGGGCTGTTATTAACAAACCCACAGAAATGTTATGAGCAACAGGAAGACAAGTTGTTTATGTCTTAGTTTGATTTTGCCTCTATTTGATACTGATCAAGGAACACAGCTACACCACCACTGCCAGGATTTTCTCCTGAAACCTCCAATTTTAAAACTGATGGGAGGCAATCCTTGCCTAGCTTATTTTACAAAGGGGTAAAGTGGTGGTAAGCATACAATCAATACCAGAAATAATCCTGATCATCACTTCAACTGAAACTCAGAGAAGAATGAAAATGTACTCCCAAAGAGCTCTGTCGGGGGTCTTCTGGACGTGTCAAGTTCAGAAATCACCAGTGGGTGTCTCTATGAACTCTCTATTACAGAAAGGAAGGCATGGGAGGAAATAAATGATTTTTTAAATGGGATTAAGTGTTTTCATACAAGAATCAGAATTTGATTCTTCACGTATTTCATTATCACAACTGGATCTCACCTCTTTAATAGCACGGCTACTATACCATCTCATAATTTAGAAAATAGGCCCAGGGGATACATGTGCCAGCTGCTCTAAAGCAACTTCCATAAGAGAAGTCAAAATACATCACTGCCAGCTCCATCCCCTGTAACACGCCTCCCGCCCCCCAACCACCATGAGTTTTACACGCTTTTTGTAATTCTCTACTGAAGAAAGGCCTCAACATACTAGGATCTGGGAGGTTTTTGTTTTGCAGGGGATAAGGAAGGCATCCTATTCTTGAGGAGTTAGATTTGGAGAAGAGACTAAAAAAAAGCAAAGGATTATTTTCTCAATTTAATGTTTTGTTTAATTGAGAGTTCCATTAGAAACTTGGAGTATAGTAAGAAATCCTTGAAAATACAAACCTATATTTGGTTTGGATGTACAAAAGAAAATACTTGTATGATTTGTTCCTCTTCCATAGTTAAAAAAAAAAAAAAACCCTACTAAAAATTCCCAAAATCAATCATTAATACATACGAATACATTTTTTCTGTCACTTCTCCAAAGAGTAATAATACCTGTTGTGAGAAATGAGTGAGAATGGACCCTGTGCGCACGGCGCGTAGTACAGTTCAACCCTATGGCTTTTGTTGTAAACTTCAGAATCCTCAAGAGCGCTCATATTCTATTGACTAAACCTGCTTGGGGGCATGCTCCGGCGCTCTGGATGTTCGGGAGCATAATGTAGACGAATACGCCAATGGTTCTTGGGTACTCCACTGCTTTTCTGAGACTGTAAAGAACCTCACCTCCTTGTCACCGAGTGTGCTGGCCTTGCCTCCCATTCCTTCCTTCCCCCTCCCATTGTTGCCTCCGCTGGAACAGACCTTCCTCCCCTGCAGCTGAGCTCCCTCCTGCCCAGCACACACAGACCTCCATCATGCCCACACTTTGCCCCCAGTGGGCCTCTCTGTGCTGTTCTAGTCCTGCTTTTATCTTTCTAGCTGACTCCTCTGTATCCTTGCTGGCCCTCAAACCTAACCATAAACCCTCATCGGTTCCACTTTACACTCACTCCTTCAGGGAACAGCTTTCTTTCATGGCTTCAACTACCAAATTACTTCAGACAACTCCAAACCATCTCCAGCCCTGCCCTTACTCTGAGGGGCTGGACACCTCCACCCGAATGTCCTGCTACCAGTCCAGATCATTACTTCAAAGTAAAATGAGGGCTGATCCTCAAACCATATTCTTGACCTCCTGTCTTTCTGTTCCACCAATGCTTCTGTCATTCTCAATCTTCCATGTTCAAAATATTGTCATTTTAAAAATTTCACCATTGCAATGCCCTTTCCATTTCAATTTCTATTATTCTAATCCCAACTCTCATCATTTCATATCTACTCCACTGCAATAATCTTCTCACTGTCCTGACTCCAATTTCTTCCAGAACCAGTGCATCCCCATGAAGTTAACACACTGACTTTCCCCACACATTTTCTCTATTACGCTCCTGTTCGTAAGCCTTCAATAACTTCCTACTGCTAAGAAAATAAATCTCAAAATCCAGAGTCTGCCATTCCAAGTCAGCAAATCTCTTTACACTTGCTAACTACCACAAACCAGTATAAGCCCTCTGCACCACATCTCCCTCACTGGCCCTTTTACACACCAGGTTCTATGCCTCTGCTTTTGCCATTCTTCCTGCTGAGACTGCCTTCCCTCTCCTCTATGCAAGCTAAGTTCTACCATATTCCTGAGGCCCAATTCAAGACCCATCACTCTATAAAGCAGGGGTATCCAATGTTTTGGCCTCCCTGGGACACCCTGGAAGGGGAAGAATTGTCTTGGGCCACACATAAAATACACTAACAATAGCTGATGAGCTTAAAAAAAAATCTTCTAATGTTTTAAAAAAGTTTACAAATTTCTGTCAGGCTACATTCAAAGCCATCCCGGGCCACATTTGTCCAGTGGGCCACGGGTTGGACAAGCTTGCTATAAAGCCTTCCACAATCACAGCAGTCCATTCATTGCTCAGAATCTATCCACTGGCACTTGGGGTACTCTATCCTGTATTGTGGCTTACCGTAAACATGGATATATGTAGAAAGAAAATACACTTGTGTGTGTGTGTTTCCTGTCTCCCCAGTGAAACTGATACCCCTAGAAAGGTTTATATTAGGCCTTTTAATTTCATCTTTGTACCCCCAATGAAGGTGATGACCTTTCGCTATGACATTTTATGTGAATGTTTATGTGAATGAAAAGTTTATTTGTTGAGCCAATATACATAATGTATGTCTCTATATGCACTTGTAATTTGATATTAATAATATAACAAGAAATGACTAAAAACATGAGCTTATTAAATCTATCCTGAAACATATTCTGTTAACTAGACAATGGAGGACTGAAAGACATCTTCAATTCTGGATCACGCTTTTTTAAAGAGTCGGTGGTGGGAGAAAAATGATCAACGGCCAGGCGCGGTGGCTCACGCCTGTAATCCCAGCACTTTGGGAGGCTGAGGCGGGTGGATCACAAGGTCAGGAGTTTGAGACCAGCCTGACCAACATGGTGAAACCTCCGTCTCTACTAAAAATAAAAAAAAAATTAGCCAGGCATAGTGGCGTGCGCCTGTAATTCCAGCTACTCAAGAGGCTGAGGCTGGAGAATCACTTGAACTCAGGAGGCAGAGGTTGAAGTGAGCTGAGAGTTGTGATCGTGCCACTGCACTCCAGCCTTGGCAACTGAGCGAGACTCCATCTCAAAAAAATAAATAAATAAAAATGATCAATGAAACCCTTTTCCAAATATTAACTGAACAATCTAGTATTTCTCATAGTGTTCTTCTAGCTCCTGGCCAATGCATTATATTCAAGAACTTTGTGCCATTCATTTGAATCAAAGAATATTTAATCTATTTTAAACAGTGCTCAGTCAATGATTTAAGTTCATCTATATTGAAGTTTAAATTATATTCTGAAATTAGTATTCATCACAACATACCCGGTGACATTATTCAGTATTTATTCCCTTCTTCATGTCAACTAATAACTTCAAAACTGAGATTTAATTCTTTTACTTCTTTTTGAAATGAAACTGCATGCACTTGAAGAGTGACACAATTGAGCTAAAATATTATCTCAAAGATTGTTAGTTTCTTTATAAAAGTGAAACACTCTTACCTTGTATAAACAAATAAGGTTCCTTCCACATCAGTTTTCTCCTAAACAATAAAAACAAAACACACAAGACATGTATGTTCTCCTCATTCACAAAGGTATAAAACAACTTCTCATGGAATAGGAATTATATCCAACTTCAAGCAGGTGAAACTGCAATGGGCCAAATACACCCAACATGACGAGTGATTCTCAGGAAAAGGAGAAAGCAAGCTCTGGGCCATCAGTGTGCCTCTGCAGACTAGGCAGCAGGAAGCAGGCTTTCTTCTGTCATTTACAAAATAAACCATCATTATCTCTCTTTACCAAATACAGGGAGAGCAACATACCTCTAGCTGAAACGACGAGAAAGTAAGTGTGCTATGTGGATTTAATTAGAAAGAAGAGCGCTGCCTTTTTCTCCAGCCACCACACTGGGTATGGAGCAAGCTGCAGACATCACTGGTGTCTGCATTTCACTATTCTTCATTTTGTTTTCCTGGTTCATTTTCTCTTGCCATATCCAGTCACTTAGGAGGGCAGATGATCTGTCAATAACTCTACTTTAGCTGCTAGATAGAGAGGGCAATGATGGCCACAGAGTTCTCAGATGAATCAGTCACCTACTTAGTGTAGTCTATTTACAGTCAAGGTCTGCCCCGAGATCCCTCAAGTAAAGTTACACAAGTACTACCAAGTTAGGACTCAAGAAATTTGCCTGAGAAAATCTGGGAGAGGTGGTAAAGTTAAAATGATGCTTCAACTAGTTCATTTGACATTTCTTTTCCATTTCTCCAAAGGCAGGAAGCCGGGCCATTATGATAATATTCATCCATATAATGCATACTAAAAAACATACATGTAACTATCCAGGTGTTTGATTAACCAGTAACCAAGCCTATTGTAATTCAGAATTTAAAATGTACTTCTGCAATTTACATGGTTTAATTTCAGCATTCTATTTAAACCCCTGATATTTTATTATTAATATTCATGACCATAATCATTCAAAATTTAAGTACTCTATAATTTTGGTGAAAAATACGCCCTTTTAAAAAAAAGTGTAATGTCAAAACAGCAATTTTTAAAAGGCACACAAGGCATGATCCTTTCACATGCTCAAGCAATTTCAGCCAATTTCTCATTCACTTTAGTTCAGTGGGCCTCAAAGTGTTATCCCCAGATCAGCGGCATCAGCATCACCTGGAACTTACTAGAACTGCAAGTGCTTGGGCTCCTACCCAAACCTACGGAATCAGCAACGCTGGGGATGGTGCTCAGCAATCTGGTTTTCATTAACCTGTCCCGGTGATTCTGATGTATGCTAGTCTGAGAGCCACTCACTGCCTCAGCTCAACAACATACTCTCTGCCCATGAAATTATATTACAAGTCCTGAAAACAAAATCCATTATGGCACAAATCGTATCAAGTTATTATCAAGAGTAAATGGCTATAAAAAAATCATTACTTAGTAACAAAATTTTTAATCTCAAGATGTTTATTATTATGGAATATGAAATTATAAATAAAGAATTTAGACTAGGTACAGTGGCTCATGTCTGTAATCCCAGCACTCAGGGAGGCCAAGACAGAAGGATCACTTGTGGCCAGGAGTTCAGTTTGAGACCAGCCTGGGCAACATAGTGAGACCCTGTCTCTACAAAACAAAAACTTTTTTAATTAGCCAGGTGTGATGACACATGCCTGTAGTCTCAGCTACTCAGGAGGCTGAGGAGGGAGGATGGCTTCAGCCCAGGAGTTTGAGGCTACAGTGAGCTATGATTGTACCACTGCATTCCAGCCTGGGCAACAGAGGGAGACCCTGTCTCTTATAAATAAATAAATAAATAAATAAATAAATAAATAATGAAACAACTTTAGCCAGTTTTTTCCCTAACATATAAGCATAGGTAAGAAAGTCAGGGACTTCATCCTTAAACTAGATCCACTATAAAGTTTGTATAAATCACTACCACATACTGTGCAACATATCCTGATTTCTGAAATGTGGCTCATTTGCCCCTGTACTTTGAAAAATATCCAAGTCAAAATGAAAAAATATATATACAGAAACATTACTTATCTTTCTTTGAAAACAAACGTGGTTAATTCCTATCTGTTGACAAATGTATATCCTGAGTGTACTTTAAGCACTAAGAATTACTTAAACCCAAACCACTAAGGTATTAATCAGGAAAATGGCCCCTATAGTACAGTAAATGCTACCTGAACAAATTTTTGGCTGTCCCTAAAGTTTAAATGATTCAGTCAGCATGTATTCACAAGTCCACAAAGCATTTAAAAATAAATTTGTAAAAACTAAGTATTTGGTATTACCCATTATATTGTCAGGAAACTGAGCCAAGATACAGGTCACAGAACTAGAACTTTGCAGAACCTCTATGTACCGTCAGGATCACGCCCCACAAGATCAAAACACTCTCCTGGTATTCCAGTATTTGACCTTGGACTGTTTCATCTTAGAGATCCGAATCAGGATATCTATATACAACAGCACACATAAAACTAAATAGCTTCTGACTTGTTTCCTTTCTTCCTTGATGTAACAGAAATTCTCTTAATTAAAAAAAAAAAAAAAAACCTTTAATGCCACATTTTAGTTTTTAAAATTCCAAGGTCAGAAATGTAAAAGGCATGCTTCTCCTAAAATTAATCTGTAACTTAAAACAAGCAATTGTCAAAACTAAGATTTTTATTTAGCATTACACACAAAGAATATGAATTTGTTCATAGGAAGGAGTTGTGTTTCAGTAATCACAACCTGGGACCTATAGTGGGGTTCTTGCCAGATCATGCTGGGCTAATTAGCTTATTATGATATGTCTCAGTTTCTCCATTGAAAAGAGATAACCAGGCCGGGCACGGTGGCTTACACCTGTAATCCCAGCACTTTGGGAGTCCGAGGCAGGCGGATCACCTGAGGTCAGGAGTTCGAGACCAGCCTGGCCAACAAGGAGAAACCCTGTCTCTACTAAAAATACAAAAATTAGCTGGGCGTGATGGCAGGAGCCTGTAATCCCGCATACTAGGGAGGCTGAGGCAGGAGAATAGCTTGAACCCGGGAGGCAGAGGTTGCAGTGAGCCTAGGTTGCGCCATTGCACTCCAGCCTGGGGGACAAAACAAGATTCCGTCTCAAAAAAAAAAAAAAAAAGACATAACCAGCTTACAATACTCAGATCTTTTGATGAAAAAAACGTCAGGTGCTCTATGATACCTGGATAAAAGAGACTTTGAAAATGTACATTTCTGTTCTATTATAGCTGCCCAAATTCATGCATTTTCCTGGCCCCTCCACAGTTATCCAAGGGCAACCAGATTTTTTTTTTCTTTCTGAGCAAAGTCCAGGGTTAGGGATGTGGAGAATAGTTAAAACAAGATTAGATGTTCCTTAGATCCTTTAAGGAGGACTTTTAAGTATTAGTTACCAGTCCTGGGGTATTTTAGCTTAAATTTTAAAAGTACAATTTGACAATTTAATATTATATTCTATTATAAAATCTAACAAGTGCTAAAGAAATAAGCAATTCAGAATTCAAAATACTAAAAAACCCAAAATGGAATATAAAATAGTGCTGTTTTGCAAATTTTGGGGACTGCACACTGACACAAAATAGCTCAGCACAATCTCTATTTTAACTTGATTATTCTCAATTAAAATAATCAAAACGTAGGCCTCAACTTATCCTCCCAAATCTCTCTTAGTCATGCATGTAGCATCAGCGTCACCTATGAAGCTTTCAACAATCTCAAATGCCTGGGTCTCATTATCCAGAGGTTTTAGTTTGGCATTTTTCACTTTTAAAAAACTGTGAGTTAATTGGCTACACCAAAAACTTAGAAAACCACTAGCTCGGAACACAACCTCAGTCACTGTAGGGCAGTTTTCAGGCTCAGCTCACCTGGCCTCTATTCTGCAGATGTCCTAACACTCTTCCCTTCAGTGCGACAGCCAAAAACGTCTCCAGACGCTGCCAAATGTCACCTGGGGGCAAAATCAACTCCAGCTGGGAGCCACTGGTCTAAGGACTGACAGCTGGAAAATACCAGGGCTATGGTCTTCAATTGACACACAGGTATTAATATTTTGGAGGGGGGCATCTTTCCTGGCCACAGGGAGTAGATCTAACTCTAAAATTCCTATTCCAGTCATCACATAATCTTTCTTAATCCTTCTTTAAAGCAGTTCATTTTCTATACACCTTTCCTTCCTAATTTCTCCTCCTCTGAAAGGCTGAAGTCATTCTTCATCCATTTTCAGGGCAATAAGAATTCCCCTCTTTAACATCTTCCCTGCCTTCTTGTAAATACTTTCTCCTCTCTTCTCAAGAATGTTCTCATATTCTTATTAGGTTTACATTCAAATGGCTCCCACCCAGAGTGACAGCACATGGAGACAGTGGTCATAATTTGTTTGCCTCCAGCAACTGCTCTGCAGCTGAACTAGGTCTCTCTCTTTGTTTTTCTGGCTACGACAGCCTTGAATATTAGAACTTTGAAAGAATGACCTTTTCCTGAGTGAATTATACCCTGTCTGAAGGCAACATGTCCAGCAAGCAGGAAAACATAACTCCTGTAAATAATGCATTGTGACACATCTGCTTTTTGATGAGGCTTTAGGTATCTAATAAACATCTGTAACTATCTTAAAAGGTATCTATCACATAGATAACGGTCAAAAGCCTACAGGAAACAACTATTATTCAAGAGAAATGCTCTACTTTCTTTATATTAATAGTTTCTCAGGATGCTCCAGACTCGAATCCCAGTGTCAAGTCAATTTACACAACTATACATCTCTGGTCCTCATCTCTCTACTATGGAATTAACTTTTACAGGATTATAACATTATGCCTTTGGCATTTTTCTACACAGCAGCAAAACAGCCTTATGTAGAATATCTTCATATATACTTTTAATTACCATGGAGGAAACTGTCTACTATGTTGCTCAATGTTCTTTATGTAAAGACCTAGGTGACAAATGCCCCTGGAAACTAGGGGGAAATAACCTTTCTCCTGATTAAGTGGTAGGCTTTCTATTACAGAAGAATGAATATTAAAGAGCTCTTCCTGTTCTCCTTTTGAGTTTGGCTACTAGGAGCGCAGACCTAAATTCTTTGCCCCATTCCTGTAAATTTCCTCTGTTAAGAACTTTGGGCAAAACTGTTTGTCTATCCCATTCTTGCTTGCTTTTTTATCTTTATGTTAATGATTTTCAGGTGAGTTTTTACTACAGGCTGCTGAACTACACTGGAGATAAGTAGGCTTATGAATGTGGGTGTTAAAAAAAAACAGAGTTGTTCAACATAGATGTTTTCCTTGCTTAAGTTCTGATGTTTATACAACCGACTTGAAGAACACAAAAAGTTTATCTGAAATCCATTCATCAAGGCTAAGTTCTCCATACTGTTTTGTAACTTATTTTAAAATGATGGATATCATATATGTGATATATAATGGGCAATATATAATGGATGATGAATACTATTTGGACAAAAATCATTATGAGGAAAGAAATAAAATTACATCTCTCTACATTCGAGTGGGTGGGTTACAAAATTACAAGCAGCATTTCCTGCAACAGGATTCCAGTGCTCTAGGCTTCTACCCCATTCTAACTGTGAGGACAATGAAACTTCATTCCATTACCATTTATTGGGACTCTGCTTTGAGAAGAGCACTAAAATAATCTGGCTCCCAAATGGCCTCCAATATCAAACTTGGTGGGCTGTCGTATAATAATCCTCCCAAGAGCATCAGCCTCCTTCTAAGTGTTGGACCCTGCCCCATTTTGTCTTTTCTTTGACGAGGTTGGCTCTTTTCTTGGCGTTTCCCTAGTTTACAACTTGCAGATTTCTCCCCTTCTATCAAGTTTTGATTTCTCTTTGTCCCATCTAAGACTGACATTCCAAAATCAGAACTCTGCACTTTTATTCATCTGCTGTCCCTGCCTCCCCCATAGCCACAGATTCACTGTAACAGAACTCTGCTTTACTGTCTCGAGCACATCGGTCTTCCGACCTTAAGGCATCAGGTCCTTCCTTTCCTTCGGCTCTCAGGGTGCGGTACCCGATCGGTCTGGTCTCCCAGCGTTGGGTACGTTAGAGATTTAAGTCTTTTCCCCAACTCCAGGTAGCTCCACAGATCCGCCTCCCTTCCCCCAAACCCCCGGGAGCGCATCTCCACAACTTCGGCCTCAGGCCCCAGATCCACCCACCTCCAGGGCGTCAACGTCTCCTCCCCCTCACCGGGTCCTCAAGTCCTGAGTCTGACGCCCCCCGCCTCCACCCCAACCCTGCTCTGCCCTGCTCCGCCGCGTCCGCACGCACCCACTCGTTGGCCCGATGGCCGAAGGTGTACAGAGCCACCTGGCTGGCCACGTCCACGATGCGGTTGATATAGGGGTCGTGGCGCTGCAGGGCCGCTAGGCTGATGTCGCGCCCCTTCCCCACCAGGCCGCCTGCCGCCACGGCTGCCATCTTCCCTCCCTCCCCGACATAGGCACGGGGCTCTTGGAAGCCACTCTCAATAGATCGCAGAACGAGCGAGCTGCTTCGCTACCAAGAACCCACGGCGACCACAAGGCCCGGGAGGCCTTTTCCGGCTCCACTCACCCACACCCTCCCGCCCGCCGACTGACGCAAGGCCTCACTAATCGATGGCCGCGCTCCGCCCACTGAGGATCGTTGCCACTGGCAACGACAAACCCAGGCCTGCCCTCTGCATCCCGTTTCTTTCTCCAAGAGCTGTTTTTCTTCACGCTCGAGCCTTTGAGCTGTGTGCGCGGTAGGACTTCCTTCTTGGATGTGTTCGACGCCTTGGCATATCTTTTCTTTGGCGCTTCAGTGATCAGACCTATCACAATAAATAAGCCTCGAGCATTAAGAACTCTGAAGAGAAAGAGAACTGAATTGATTTCTGAATGTGCTAACACCCAGTGGTTCTCAAAGTGTGGTGTGGTCCTGGAACCCCTTGGGAGTTTCTGAGACCCTTTCAGGGGATCTGCAAGGTCAAAAAAAAAAATTTGATGACAATGCTAAGACTTACTTATTTGACTTGTTCACTGTGGTGACGTTTTGCAGACAATGGTGGTTAACCCAATCATGGCAGGGACACCAAACTGTATTGCTGGTGAAAGTACGCACGGGTCACTAACCTGCATTCTCAGTTAAAAAAAAAAAAAAAAAAAAGCTAGAGAGCCAGTGTCACCTGATGGTGTTCTTGATAAGCAGTAAAAATTATCAATTTTATTGGAGCTTAATCCTTGGGTACCATTCTTTTTAGTATTCTGCATGAAAAAATAGGAAATAGGCATAAAGCACGTCTGCTACAAAATGAAGTGTGTCATACTTGTCTCTAGGAAAATACTTCTGTGCTTGAGTTGTGGGCCGAATTCATGTTTTTTTTTTTATTTTCATAAAACATTTTACTTGAAAGAAAGATGGGCAAACTATGATTATTCAAACAGGTACTTGACAGACATTTTCCTGAAAATAAATAAAGTGTGCCTGTCACTTTCAGGAAAACAAGGGACAATTACTGCTGCCAATGATAATTTTTAAGCCTTCAAGCCAGAATGAAAAGTTTAGAAAATGTGTATCTGCTGCCATGAGCTTGACAACGTCTCAATATTTAACCTTTTTTTTCTGATGAGATCAATGATGATATTAATGAGTGCAATTTTAACAAATCTTGTGTAATGGAAAGTGTCAGTATCTCAGAGATCTGCTTAACTCAGTGGTCCAATATTTTCCAAATGACCGATGTCTCATGCTACATAATCATGCACAGGCAAAAGATCCATTCCAGGACAAGGTGGACTAATGGATTTTTAATGTAACAGTATGAAAAGTTAATAGGATTTCAGATAGTACATTGCAGCTAAGCTTTGAGAAACTGCAGCTTGTCAAGTTTTGGTATATTGTCCAAGAAGAATATCCACAGTTATCTGAAAAAGTCTATTAAAATATCCATCTCTTTTCCAACTACATTATCTACATATGAGGCCAGAGCTTCTTCATATACTCCGAACAAAACACACATGGCCCGGCCTCTTTAAAGTTATTTTTAATTTCCAACGTGGTAAATATAGGTAGATATAACTCATATAAACAAAAGTTCTCTGAGGGAGTCCTTAATATTTTTTAAGAGTGGGCCAGGTGCAGTGGCTCACGCCTATAATCTGAGCACTTTGAGAGGCTGAGGCGGGCAGATCACAAGGTCAGGAGTTCAAGACCAGCCTGGCCAACATGGTGAAACCCTGTCTCTACTAAAATTACAAAAATTAACTGGGCGTGGTGGTGGGCACCTGTAATCCCAGCTACTTGGGAGACTGAGGCAGGAGAATCGCTTGAACCCGGGAGGCAGAGGTTGCAGTGAGCCGAGATCCTGCCTCTGCACTCCAGCCTGGGTGATAGAGACTCCATCTCAAAACTAAATAAATAAATAAAAAGTAATTTAAGAAATGATTTTTAAGAGTGTAAAGGGGTCTTGAGACTAAAAAGTTGAGAACGGTTGATCTAAACCATTTATCTAGCATTAAATATTAGAACAACTGTGCATACATTATGACATTCATAAATTCTTACCTATTTGATATAGAAATATCATAGATATGGCACACATGCCCTGTCATAATAATATGTTGCAATATCATCTTTGCAGTCACAATTCAATTGTACTGAAATTCTTGGTTAAGCTGCGTTTTGTAGTCTCAGTCCTGTTGATTCCCAAGCCTGACTTCCCAGTGGGGAAGAATATGGCAACGGCTTTCAAAGACCTTTTTTTGACTGAGGCTGGGGTTATTTGCAGTCTGACCCAGAACCTATGTTTATATATTTATACCTGATATTAACTAGAATAAATGTTTCATGAAACAATACTAAGTGATACAGACATTTTTTAAATTGCTGTTTGTGATTTTGTAAATTGATTTCATGATCAACTAATGGATTCTGACCTGCAGTTTGAAAAACACAGGGCTACAGCAACTGAACAACCACACAAAGCTGACTAGACAACTTTCCATGTTAGTTCACTGCCTTTTTCCAGTGTTACTGACCTGTTCGCTCTTCATCGCATACGTGCTTCCAAAAACGAGTCTAATTTGTAATATGGGCAATGGAGAATTTTGTGATTAACACTTGAACTAGTCACACTCTCTCACTTGATTAGCTGTTCTAATTTGGATTTTTCAGCATGAACCCACAGATTCTACTTTGCATTTCCCTCATACATATAATGAGGCCTTGCTTTTCTTTTGTCTGTTAAGTTCCATGATCCTTACACAGATCATTTTCCAGTCTTTCCATCTTTAAAGTGTAAGGAATAGATTGTGGCCTCCAAAGAATGAATTGCTTTGAGCTCAGTAGAGAAGACAGGCAGTATGGGGGCCGTTGTAAAAGCTTAAATGTTCATAAACCAAAAGTGCATTCGGGTCTTGGTGATCTGTATGACTACAACTGCAGGGCATTTACTGAGTGCTCACTTGATGAAATTCATTAATTCTTCTTGATTTATTGTTGCTTCTTGTGTCTGTGCTGAAATTACATGGTCATGTCATCTCCGGTCTTTGATCTCACTGATGAGTAAGATGAAGATACCCTTACTGTGCTTATGGGAAAGATTTCACACATGTGAACAACATGCCAATATGATGCTTAGTAGAGAAGGGTTGATTTTTTGTGTGTTGAGAGTTAATGAAACAACCCACCTTCTGTTCCAACCTCCTTGTATCTGGACTCTTTTCTCCCAAGTATCTCACACATTCCCATCCCTGTACCTTCGCCCATCTGTCTTCTTAGCTTGGAATGACCTTTTCCTGGAAAACTCACCTCCTGTCTTCTCCCATACACTCCTTTCAGCCTGTGAATCCTCAGTGCAGTCTGTTGCGATTTTTCTTGTGGCACTGAACTCACTTTATCCTGACTTAGACTTATTTCTTTACTATGTTACATATACCTTTTTTTTCCAGTTCTTAAAAAAAAAGAGTCACTGTAATAAAAGAGAATTGTTATAGAAAATCGAGTCTGAAAACGTTATTGCAATTGAACAAGAAATGTAGCTTTGAGTTTCTTGACAGATAAGCAAAAAGGAGGAAATAGTATGTTTCATAAATTTTTATTTATTTATTTATTTATTTATTTATTTATTTATTTATTTTTGAGACAGGGTTTTTCTCTGTTACCCAGGCTGGAGTGCAGTGGCAGGATCACAGCTCACTGCAGCCTTGACCTCCTGGGTTCAAGCAGTCCTCCCACCCCAGCCTCCCAGGTAGCTGGGACCACAGGCGGGTGCTACCATGCCCAGCCAATGTTTTTTATATTTTGTAGTGATGGGGTCTCATTATGTTGCTCAGACTGGAGATGTTATTTTATTTATTTATTTTTTTGAGACGGAGTCTCGCCCTGTCGCCCAGGCTGAAGTGCAGTGGCGCGATCTCGGCTCACTGCAAGCTCCACCTCCCGGGTTCACACCATTCTCCTGCCTCAGCCTCCTGAGTAGCTGGGAGTACAGGTGCCCGCCACCACGCCTGGCTAGTTTTTTATATTTTTAGTAGAGACAGGCTTTCGCCATGTTAGCCAGGATGGTCTCGATCTCCTGACCTTGTGGTCTGCCCGCCTCGGCCTCCCAAAGTGCTGGGATTACAGGCGTGAGCCACCGCGCCCGGCCGGAGATGTTATTTTTTATGTGCTTATCACCCGTATAGTCTCCCTAGCACTTGGTCCAATGCCTTGTGCATAATAGAGATTCGATAAATGCTTATTCTTTCGAACTAAACCCTGAGTTAGTGGAATTTACTCATTAAATGTCAGCATTTTTTAAAGAGCTCATGATTTATAAAATAATGAAATCCAAGTTGGGATAAAAGAACATATAATAGCAAGTCCTGATCTCTCAGATTTTACATTCTAAGGGAGATAGAAAAAAATGGAAAGGTTTTTGGTTTTTTAACTTTCAAACAAAAAACTCTTGAAGATGAGACATCATACTCAGAGAAAAAAGATAAATAATGTTGCAGTGACTTCAGCATTGCCGTATTGTTCATCTCCTCGGCCCACAGAGCTTTATTTTTTTTATTCTTTTTTCTGCCCCCCAAAATCCTAAAGCTCTGACCTTCTAGGATGACGCCAGCCTTCTGCCTTCTTTCTATTTGAATAATCTGTGTTTGTAAAACCAGGTCATCATCACTTATCCAAATATACTAAGTTGCAGGCTCGATATTAGTAAAAGACCATTTCAAATAGGCAAATTCTTTTTTAATCCGTGTAACTTCCATTTCTGTTGGCGTCCAGAGTGCTGGCGCACTTCCACTGCGTTTCCATAAGCCTCGTCATGATACCTTGGACAAATATTGGTGACTTCGGGTTTCATGATTATATTATAATTGTCATTATGAGATTAAATATATGCTCACACTTGGTTTTATAAAGTTGGATACTGCAATTTAAAACAAGTTTGTAGTATGATAAAAAAAAATATGTTTGGGTCTGGGGTTTTTATACTGTGG